CACTCCCTGGTAGTAATCCTCAACCAAGAGGAACTTTTAATTATAATAGTGACCGGGGGTCACTGCTTCAGGTATTGCCAGAGGCAAGAAATGCTAAATGCTTTGTATACCAAAAAGATACATCCCAGACTGCCAGGAGAGCCCTTGGAAAGGCCTGGCTCCACAGAGGACATATAATTCTGCATGACCATGTTCCCTCCTGACTTCCCAGGCCTGTGGCACACACTGCCACCCTCACCATCCACTGGCCCAGGACAGCATCAATGCCCACACATCTGTGCTCCACTTCTCACCTGACCACCTTACCTACTATTCTCCTTACCCAAGAAGCCCTCCTCCTCCCACCTCAGCCTCAACCTAGCTAGTGTCTAATAGGTAGGCTCAGTTCCAAGCTCAGCTCTTTCAGAAATCCCTCCTTGAATATCACACCCCCACTCCTCAGCTCCCCTGCACCACATCACGCCACATCACCACGGTAGGGGCCAAGTACACCCTTCTATCACTGCTCTTCCACCTTGCTTGAAAACTGCCTGCTGATGGCCTTTCTCCACTCTGGGACTGTGCATTCTTCAAGTACAAAGACTCTCTTGTTGATCTTTGCATCCCCAGTACTTTGCCCATAGTATGTCTTCAAATATCAAAAGAATGAATGAGAGGTTCATAGATAAATTCTGCAGACTAGGTGAGTCCTTGATATAGAAACAAAATCATGACTTTGGCAGAGACATCGATTTGTCCCCCAGTATCCATGCTCCCTTCTCCCTTCTAAAGATCAGAACCCCTTGAGTTCTGGCTGAACCCAGGGCCACCCAACCAGGCATCACCCTTCCCAGCCCAGGTGTACCCACATGATATGCCCTAGACACAGGTACATAAAGGAACACAACATATACAATTTCAAGGTATAAGATCCTTAAAAGGAAGCAGCTTGGCCTCCACACGCTGGAATGCAGAATGTAGGTCAGCTTCAACCAGGCAGGGCAAGACATTTCATATAAGTCAAAGGACAGAGGAACCCAGAGCAGAGCCTCCTCTCCAGGCCCCTACTGACTAGACTGTTGGGTGGAGAGAAGCACATCTTCTATCTCCTTTTTTTTTTTTAAAGTTTTGTTTCAATACTGAAAGATTTCCATCTTCTTTAAGTCACTGTTACGTTGTGTTAAAGTAGTCAAGTGAATCTTCTGGTTCTTTTTCATACTATCTCCAAAAGATTTAATTCATCTTGAGATCATATTTTTCTAGCACCAGCTCACACCTAATTTTTTTTTAACTCTTTGTCCTAAACCCTGTGACTTCACTAAGAGAAGTAAACAGCTATTTTATTTTTAAGAGGGAGGTTGGCCGTTATCCATTTAAGAGTTAACAGAAATAAAATACGTAACTTACTTAAATTTTCATTTTCATTTGACAAATTTTTAGAGCCAATTCAATTGCCATATGCTGAATACCTACTATGTTCAAGGTGCTATGGAAGGATCAAAAGAAGTGTCTGCCTCCAAAGAACTTGTGATTTAATACAACGTGTGTATGCATGCGTACGTACAGCCGAAGGTCCATACTGTATGTAAGAGAAATACAAGGAAACTTCTATTACAACAGAGAAGAAAGTAACTCTGGGAAAGAAAGTATCATGATTTTCAAGGATTCAGTGCTTGGTTTTGAAGAATTAAAAACTCATAAGACACAGTCTATTCTCCGCTCTCAAAATTTGTAAAAGAGACAGGTAAATAATAAACAATGAAAAGTATATAATAGAAGTTTGTACAAGATACAGAAGTGGTACCAAAAAAGGAAGTAGCTTAGCACTGTGGGTCAAGATGGTGCACAGAAAACCTTCGTGGGGAATACACGAGCTTGACAAGAAGACAGGATCTACAATACACAAAGCCACAGGGACTGAGCGTGGGATATAGTCTGAATCTGCGTCCCCACCCAAGTCTCATGTGGAATTGTAATCCCCAACGTTGGAAGTGGGGCCCGGTGGGAGGTGACTGGATCATGGGGGCAGTTTCTCGTAGTTTCACATCATCTCCTTTGGTGTTGCTGTGAGGAAAGTTGAGTTACCGAAAGATGTGGCTGCTTAAGTGTGTAGCACCTCCCTGCTCTCTCTCTCCCTCCTCCTCCGGCCACGTGAGATGTGCCTGCTTCCCGTTCACCTTCTGCCGTGATTGAAAGTTTTCTGAGGCCTCTCCAGAAGCTGCCACGCTTCCTGTACAGCCAATGGAACCATGATCCAATTATACCTCTTTTCTTTATAAATGACCCAGTCCCCGGTGTTTCTTTAGAGCAATGCAAAGCTGGACTAATATGGCAAGTGGTCCTAGAACCATAAAAAGTTTGAAGTTACTGGCAAATAGAGGACAAGGGGGTGAGCGGCAGACGATGAAGCTGGGATCCAGAGACAGGAACTTCAGTTAATAGGCTCCTTCAGTTACTAGGCTCTGGTGCAACCGCCCTGGCACAAGGGAACAAGCAATGGGGGTTCCTTCTGCTCTGCTAGATCCACACCTGCTCAGCTGCCTACCACTTTGCCTCAACCCTGACAAACACCAAAGAGAAGCTACAACACACATTCTCCATTCCTAAATATCACTGCCAAGTTCAGCTTACACGGGAACCTCTAACTATCCTCCCCAGAGCCTAGAGTCAGTTTTAAGTGTCCAGTGCTCTTGCACCTGGGCTCTATCCTTTGCAAAACCCCAGCGCCTCTCAAAAAAGCAGGCGTACCCAGCCCCCAGCAGCACCCTCTCAACTCTCATTTTTTCCTAAGAGAAAGAAGGAGGAACACTTCATAATTCTATTGCTTCCCACCAAAAGGTATCCACATGCCTTATCCCCACTGTAAACCAAGTCCCAGGAACCTTGCCCTGCTCGAAGGTGCTCTGAAAACTACTCTTCCTAGAAGAATAAAAGGGGAAAGGCAGGTAGAGAGCCAGCAATGAATATCCATTTACACAGAAATAAAATTGGCCAAAAATAAGATAAAATAAGAGTAGATGAACAGTAGAGGAAGTACAGAGGCATATTCAATTCATTAGGCTTGCCTGGCAAAGGGTGTCGCTATCCATATCAATGGCAAGGACTATTGGTATGGATTAAATGGGGAAGACACGTAGTCTAAAAAACACAAACCTGTCTCTGCAAGATGGAAGGTACTGCTGGGAACAGGGGCACGTGCAGGTGACATAGGGAAAAGCATGCTCCTAATTCATATGAGTAAGCGATGATGCCTAACTGTGCTTCTGATGTCATCACTGATCACATAACTTCGGGTAATTGCCAAGGTGTAACTAAGCAAAATTCAGTTAGAGCTTCCCTGGACCCACCTGAGGGAAGGATTTTCTGGGCTCCTGGCTGCTCCTCCTCCCTGCAGCAGCCTGCACTTGGCCACCCCACTACCACCTCCAGCAGAGCAGATGGAGGAAGCCAGCCAGCCAAGGTGCTGCATGTCTGGCTCGCTAATAAAATCCGGGAAGGTTTAGTAGAAGAAAATCTCCAAAAGTTAGGTTTCCAGAAAAAAGAACAATTTTTAACTTATTAAGCTGCTCCTATCTCTGACTACTGAAAGCCAGTCTATCTATAGCATGTATTTCTTTCCTCTCCCTTGAGAAAGTATGATGGTTCAAGTACAGCAACCCAGAGAACCTGGCCTTGCAGGGACGCAGGACTGTTTGATACAGTTTATACACAAAGCATTTAAAGATTAAACACAATAAACCTTATTCCAAGCAGTTCCTTGCCTTGAATACTGTAAAGGCTGTTTATGTTTCCACTAACATTTCTGACCCTTTATTTTCCAGTATGCATGAAGAGAAAGAAAGCAGCGATCTGTCATGCACATAGGTTTCTTGTCAAAGAGTTCTTTCCTGGGGGAACAAAGGGATGGCACTTACCTACAGGCAAGCACTTTGGTCTTGAAGGCCATCAGGACATGGTACAGGGGTCTTGATGGACTGACTTAGCTAAAGGAGGAAACCACCTATAGGGCAGCACAAGGTAGATCCTCCCTCACCCCAAACCTACAGCATTATTCAGAGCAGCTTTAGAGTTTGTTCACGCCTATTTTAAATGTTATTAAGATGTACCTGCATACATAGATTTTTCTCTACATAATCCTTCTGGAATATTACATTACAAATCAAATCAAAAGTTAAATTAATGACATCCAATTAAAAAAGTAGATTAAGAGACTCATAGAGGAAGCACTGCACTAAGATTAATGAAAATGTTATTCCAACATGAAAATTGCCTTAGAACTTGTTACCAAAATTTTGAACATTAATTATCTCTATTTTAAGCCTTGCCTTTACAAAGTTATTTCTTCTACTTCCTTTTATCATACTTCGTGACAAATCCACAGTTGCCCCACACAATTATACAGTTCTCTTAAATTTACATATATATGTGTGTGTGTGTATATATATATACGTATATATATATATGCATATATATACACACACACATACACACACACACACACACAAATTTAGAATATGATACTTAGCACACTAGAAATTAACCAAAACATTTTCTTTTTCTTTTCTTTTTTTTTTTTTTGAGACAGAGTCCCTCTCTGCCACCCAGGCTGGAGTGCAGTGGTGTGATCTTGGTTCACTGCAACCTCTGCGTCCTGGGTTCAAGCAATTCTCCTGTCTCAGTCTCCCGAGTAGCTGGGATTACAGGCATGCAATTTTTGTATTTTTGGTAGAGATGGGGTTTTCCCATGTTGGCCAGGCTGGTCTCGAATGCCTGACCTCAACTGATTCACCCACGTCAGCCTCCCAGTGTTGGACTTACAGGCATGAACCACCATGCCCAGCTGACCAAAACATTTTCAACAACAAATACTCAATATTAAATAAGCAAAATGAGTCAGAAGAGCTATACTCATCTAACTAAAAACTGATTCTCTACAGATCCAGTGTTTTGGAAAACATAAAGGTAATCAAGAAATACATAACTGGCAAAACGCCCCCCCACACCAAGCCATCTCTACGTACCTGTGTGAGATCTGCAGCCTGTTTCAAGATGCTTTTTTTTAATTGCTCTGCTCTCTTTGCATGAAAAGAATTACTTTGACTCTGGATGACAAATATAATTTCTTTTAAGTCTAGAACAAAAAGAAATAGTTTTCAGGTATTTCTTTTTATAGAATTATTAAAATAAACTTGAAAACAAGTGAAAAAAAATAGCTACAGGGCAAGCCTTCAGGCAATAAACTCTTAAAGGGAAAAAAAATCAATTCATATGTAATTCTAGAGACAAAATTTTCTCTTTTTAAACTGTTTCCAAAACTCCCTTCGCAGAAGTTAGCAAGTAAATAAGCTGACTGTACCAGACCCCGTCTACGGTACCAAACTGTGAATGCATGCTCCTGCATCTGTAAGAATGACTGTAAATGTGCGAAAACATCTAGAATGATAATCTTCCCAGTAGCTGAAAATCTAATGTTTACAAATAGCTTTTTAACAATTCCCACATAACCCTACACTGCGCTACTACCTGTTATGAGTTGAATCATGTCCTCCAAAATTTGTATTTTTTAAGTCCTACCCCCTGACACTTCAGAATGTGACTTCATTTAGAATTGGGTCTTCACAGAGGTAATCCAGTTAAAGGGAGGTCATCAGGGTGAACCTTAATCCACCATAACCAGTATCCCTAAAAAAGGGGAAATTTGGATGCATAACCAACACACATAGAAGGAAGACGATACGAAGAGACACGTAGAGAAGATGGCCAGCCACAAGCCAAGGAGAGAGGCCTGGAACACATCCTTCCCTTCCCAGCTCTCAGAAGGAACCAACTCTGCCCACACCTTGATCTCAGACTTCTAGCCTCCAGAACTGTGAGACTAAACATTTCTGCTGCTTGTACTAAGCCATATTTTGTGGTACTTTGTTATGCAGTCCTAGCTCACTACTACACTACTTCAAGAATGTTCTGAATGGCTCTTTCAGGTGAAACTCAACAGTAACTGCACATCTCTCATGAATTCACAGGGTTTGTGAATAAATGACTCAATAATCCCTACCCTACCTCATAAGGCACCTAGCCAGGATTTGGCGTTATCTCCAGGAAACCAGCCACAATTCCTCAGCAACAGGGCTTTAGTGCAAAGTGTTGCATAAAGCCCATCTACAACACCCCACGCTGGCAGTATTCGCCAGCCTGCTAGAGATGCACCTGAAGGCAGCCAGCTTTTTACAACGGTGAGCAGGGAGAAAACTCAAGTATGTCCTGCCCACAAAGACCACAGAGGGTTTGCCAATGGAGGTGGCAGGGCTGCACCCCAGAGAAACATGTTAGGCCTCCCCAGGTTCTGAGCCTGTAACAAAGAAATCGATAAAAGAGTGATTTTGTCAGCATCCTGCCACCAGACAGGGATGTTGGCAGAAGGGAGGTGCCACATAAATTGTAGCCTTCAGCCAGATTGTCAGCAAAGCCATGTGGGGACCCTTCCCCGACCATGGATGTTTCCCTTTAACACCTCAGCTCAGAGACCCTAATTTGATTTTAATTGTATTCCATGATATTTGATTGTTCTTACGTTCTATTCTATAACTCAGTTCACTTATTCACTCGCTCAAATATTCACACGACATATAGCTCCACAGTGAGCCATCTAGAGCCTAAAAATAATCTAAAATGCTCTTTGGTTAAAAATCAATAAAATATGTGAATGGAAGTGCTGAACAACCTACTGAATCTGACCTAATTTCTTTTATTTAGGAGTTTATATAAATAGGAACGTTCCATATATCTGTCTCTGTTTTAAACCAGCTTCTCAGCTTTATATGTTGGACTCATAGATTAGACTTAAATGGGTCTCTTCAGTTTCAACTGAATTGTTATCTTGGATCTACTACATTTGAAGCAAAATAAACGACACATCTAAAGAGGAGTTATAAAGACTTCTTTTTGTTAAGAATGGAGTAAATAAGCCTCAGAGTATAATTTTTGTAAAATTTAATAAACAAGATTTTAATGACCCAGAAATTCCACTCTTAATAATCATCCTTGAGAAACTCAGATGAGTGCACAAGGATATATAACAAAAGTATTCACAGTGGCACTGTGTAAAAGAAACAAATTGGAAGCAATGAAAATAACCACTAGCAAGATATATTAACAGGAATACTATACAGCAATAAAAATTAACCAGTACTACATGTATCAATCCAGATGGATATGGTAGACAAATCTATATGGTAGATAAATATAGATAAATCTATGATAGATAAAACTATACGGTCTACCATATAGTTATAATGCTGAAAAAAGCAAGTTGCAAAAGAATAACTATATAAATCATTACTTTGCAACAATATAAACATAAGTATATTAAAATGTATATATATCATACATATACACACATAGCATGTGAAGGTATAAAAGATTACATGAGTATGTTAAATACCAAATCAGGATAATGGTTAAAAGGTTTCAGCTGGGTTAATGGTGCTTAATTTCTTAATCTAGGTGATGTTTTATTTCTAAATCTAATGAACATATAATACATAAATGTTCATTATTCTCTTTATAACTTTTTGTATGTTCAAATCACTTCATAATAAATATTTTAAAGAGCAGATTTCTCTATCAAAAGGTTAATCCTGGCTGGGCATCGTGGCATGCACCTGAAGTCTCAGCTACTTAGGAAGCTGAAGCAGGAGGATTGTTTGAGGCCAGGAGTTTGAGGTCAGCCTAAGCAACATAACAAGACTCCATCTTAAAAAAAAAAAAAAAAAAAAAAAAAAAAAGCTTAATCCTGCATTCACCACTCATCACAGTAACCAACTCCTGCCACTTCTTCTACCACATCAGCAAAGCTCCCACTATCCTCTCACAAAGACAACAGCACTTCCATGCAGGAAAGAGGATCTGCAAGATTAAAAAGCAAGACCAGGTGCCGTGGCTCATAACTGTTATCCCAGCACTTTGGGAGGCTGAGGCAGGTGGATCACCTGAGGTCAGGAGTTCAAGACCAGCCTGACCAACATGGAGAATTCCCTTCTCTACTAAAAATACAAAATTAGCCAGGCGTGGTGGTGCATGCCTGTAATTCCAGCTACTCAGGAGGCTGAGGCAGGAGAATTGCTTGAACCTGGGAGTCAGAGGTCGCAGTGAGCTGCTGCACTCCAGCCTAGGCAACAAAAGGGAAACTTCAACTCAAAAAAAAAAAAAGCAAATTCTTCCCATATATACCTGGGTCATGTCCTGCGAGTTGCATCTGTGCTCTTTAACAAAGCTACTAAGCAATCGTGCTGGCCCCTCCCTTTTTCCTATATTTCAATCATGCATGCTTCATTCATTGATTCAGCAAACATCTTTTGAGTACCTACTAAGTGTAGGGCTCTGAGATACAAGGATGAGTGAGCGCCGGGCGCAGTGGCTCATGCCTGTAATCCCAGCACTTTAGGAGGCCGAGGCGGGTGGATCATGAGGTCAAGAGATCGAGACCATCCTGGTCAACAAGGTGAAACCCCATCTCTACTAAAAATACAAAAATTAGCTGGGCATGGTGGTGCGTGCCTGTAGTCCCAGCTACTTGGGAGGCTGAGGCAGGAGAATTGCTTGAACCCAGGAGGCGGAGGTTGTGGTGAGATGAGATCGCGCCATTGCACTCCAGCCTGGATAACAAGAGCAAAACTCCGTCTCAAAAAAAAAAAAAAAAAAAATAAGGATGAGTGAGCCCAGTTGCAGCACTGGAGTGTCTGAGCCTCGTTCAGAGACAGGCCATTATAACACAAAGCAGTAAGTGGAAAGCCAGAGCTAACTAAGCACAGGGCACAGAAATTCATCTGAGTTTCTCTAGGATGATTAATAAGACTGGAATTTCTGGGTCACTGGGAAGGTGCATCTTCTTTATTAAATTCACAAAAATTATTCTCTGAGGCTTATTTACTCCATTCCAGATGATAGGGGCCAAGTGCAAGGAGAGCTTCCCAGAGGAGGTATTTCCTGAGTTTCCTTTAAAAAGCAGCAGACACAGGCAGAGAGAGTAGCAGATCAGTGGGGTTATCACAGAGTCCACAGCCTGCAGTATCTCCCCAGCATCGGTGAGTGAATGACCATGTTTGTCAGGCATTTCTGAGAAAAGAAGCGGGGCAGGGTACAGCAGGTGATACAAGTTAGAAAGGGAAGCAGATTCGTCAAATCAAAAATCATGAGGGATTTACATACCACGCTGAGAAGCTTGGGCTCTAGATTAATCACTTTCAAATGGGGGAAGGGCCTCAGGAGCCAAGTGGGGTCCCAGGCAGTGGGGCCTTCCCAAAGGAGGTAAGGTGGACACTATCCTGAAGATGGAGGAAAAAGAGGGTGGGAAGACCCTCCCCACAGAAGGAGCAGTGAAGGTTTGGGACGGAACATTAAATTTAGGGCCTGGAAAATACTAACAGTTAAGTATGGCCAAGGAATAGGATGCATGGGGGGGATTATCGAGGACAAGTCTAAAGGGGAAGGGGGCTCCTGTAACCCTAATCATAATGAATGCCGGAAGATCACTGACATGCTAGTCAGCCCCAACCCATTCCAGAAAAAAACCAGGTTAGTGTAGGTAGTACAATTCGGTGCCGCCAACAGCTTATGTGTTTAAATTCTTGCTGTTCTGACATACAGGCTAAGCCATCCCTTCCCTGAATCACATGCCGGCTGAGTCCAGATCCCAGAGCTTATCTCGCTAGCTGTTTTCTCTGTGTATGCCATCCAACCACCTAACTCTTAAGCTCCTGCTGCCCAGTCGACAGAGCTAAATAAGACAATTCCTCCACTGCAATTTGCCTTCAGCAAACACTGTCACAACTCAAGATGGATCGTCATTGTTTCTCCACCAGGAATGGGCAATAAATGGGCCGCACACTAAGTGCCTGACAATAATAATCAGAGTGACAGGCTAGAAGGGGAAGATAAAGAAATTAGCCAAGGATACCTAAAGGGCCAATGCAATGCCAAAGCCAATGGTGAGTTGCAGAGAGTGCTCAGGAAAGGTGGCAGGACCAAAAGATAGAAAACGGATGCTGATGAGCAATGGTTCTCTGAAAGCAGAAGAAACCAAACGCTCCGTAGGTCTTCAGTTGCTCAGCACCTACCACTGCATAGCACTGAACTAAGCGCTTATCCTCCTGGTCAGAAATTACCTAGAAAAATGGGTTTCATCATGCTTGTGTTTTTCTCATGAGAAACCAATATGGTTTTCTTCTGATAAAAGGTGAGTAACAAGCCACCTTATGATTTAAAGCTGAAGAATAAAGATGCATGCACACACACACACACACATGCGTGCACACATACACATGCATGCACGCACACACATGCGTGCGCGCACATGTGTGCACACACATGCACAAAGCACCACTCCAATGTTTACTTGGTGAGAATAATCATACACTAGTGAATCTATCAACTAGGCAGCAAGCTGAAGGAGAAACAGCAGCCTGTGCGTGGAGGCTATTTCCCAGCTCTGACTGTGCGTGAGCCATGCTCTTGGTGCCTCACTCTACCCGTCACTGCAACTGCACAGGCAACTTTAGTAGCCTCTTGCTCCTGTGGGCTCACACAAAGACTGTGACAAAGAAGCCCCCTGGGCCTTTTTCAGATGAACTGATGCCAAGTTAGGTATCACTCGACTTGCCATGTGCAAGTGCAAGAATATACATTCACTTGTCCAAGGTAACTCCCCCTTCCTAGTTTCAAACCCATGTTCCAGACGTGTATCATTAATTCATTTAAAACCAGAGACTCATCTGTTTCCATAAACCACAAATAAATGCTCAAAGCCACCAGAGTTGGTAGCAGAGAAAAACATCTCCACATTTTAGGAAAGGTGTGGCTAAACTATACAGGGTGTTGTAATATAGAGAAGAAAAAGCAACAAATTGACACAGCTCCTTAAATACAGTTGCTCTCAGACCCCGCAGACCCCAACACACTCCCCTGTGGGCCTTAGATGTGGCTCCCCAAGACAGGTCATGCTCCCCCTTCCACCCAGGGCAAAGGTGGAGGCTCTCCTTACTTCTGCAGCCCTCAGAATCCAGGCCTAGGAAGGGAAGGTCTAGAAGGGCCTTTATCCTTTTCCCTCTTATCTAGAGCTCGCTTTCTGGGTATCCACGGAAAACAATAGAAAGGAAGCAAGAAGAGTTTATTGTTCTCCTTCTTGTTTCCTGGAACCCAGGCTGATCCACAATGAAACCAGAGGTGAGCCAACCACCCGTGTCTGTAAGGAGACTTTTCCAACGGGCCACATACCCCCTGACACCACACGCCTCCTGTGGAGGTCCCACTGCTTCTGGTGTCCAGGTCCTGGCTGATTGTGTTCCAGACTTGGGTCATTCCTCCTACCGTGGGAGGAAAGACATTGACAAAGTTCACACCCTTCAGGGACAGACTCGCCCCTCCCCACAGAGGTGCGGCCGTGCTTCCCATGAAATTTTTTTTTTTAGAAGCTCTAACTGATGGTCATATTCCTAAAGATGCTTACATTATATGGGAGCGGGAGGGGGGGAGTTTCAAAAGGAGTACAAATAAGGAATGGGCTGTGACAGAAGTATGATGCCTTGCAAAGGCAGGCATAACAGCTTCCAGGCCAGGATGCTCAGAACAAGTTTGGCAGACGTGATTGGCGAGCCAGAGGTGTCCGAAGGTCAGCAGGTGGAGGGCCTGCTCCCGGACGGCATGAGCAAAGGTCACATCTTGCCCTTTTCTCCCCCACAGTGTGGGTCCTTAATAACAGGGACCATGTCTCCTTCCTCTCTACATTCCCCCAGAGAGCCCACCAGGCATGGTGCTTTATCTTATTGGAAGCTTAATGAATGATGCCAGAGGGAATTAAATTCAACATATCTCACCGAGTAAACATATGCCAACATGCCCATCTGAAAAGTGTTCACCCCACATCTTCAGGAGAGCAAAGGTTGGGCTGGGCCAAAGATAGAATATTTGGACAACAGTATTTACCCCATAAATACAATTTTTAAAAATCACTTGACAGAAATACAATTCATACAAATTACATGTGAGTACACACTCTTAGGTTAAAAAAAAAAAATCTATTACTTACCTATGTCCTTTTTCCTTGATATACCACTTTTCTCCAAATCCTGTATTTTAAAGGAAAGAGAAAAGGATGACTCTCAGCACAAAAACAAAGCCAGCAATACACTGAATAAACATGCATGGTGCATGGTATGTATCAGCACACGGGAGGAAGATCTAAAAACGGGAGCTTGGAAATGCTTCCATAAAGAAATGAGTCCAAAAGCTAAGGGACCACAGAGCAACGATGTACTTCTGTGTCATGACAGACCTCTTAGGTGGGACTGTGCCCTCCTCATGTGATCTTAGGCAAGTCAGTTGACTGAGCTGAAGCTCTTTCCTACTGTGTAAGATGCAGTGAACGAACACTTAACTGCTTCACGATATTCTCAGGAGGGTACATTTTTAAAGCACTGTAAACTATAAAGCATTATGGATATGTCCTCGATTCTGGCAGGGTGTTCCTCATGAAGATGAGTTCTGCTAATTATTGCACTTTATCCATCTTTTGGGTGCAGACATGCTGCCATCAAGAATGTTACCACAATGTTCTCTCCTACTTGAGAAGTAGCCTTAGGGGTTTGCAAAGGGCCTCGGAGGCCAGCCTACAGCGGTCACTAGAATTCAGGAGCACAGAAGGGGCACCTTGGAGCTGGAGAGTTCCACACATAGAAATCTGGATGTGGCCAGAGAAATACCTGACCTCAACTCTGTAAATCAAGAGAGGAGCTCTCAAAAGATTTCTCTGGCAAAGTGCAAAGCGTCAGCAGCTAAATCTTCCATTTTCATTGTCTTCTCTGCAGACTAAGAAGGCCTTTTCTCCCTAATTGCTCTTTTCTGCTTTCAACAGCCATATGCTATAATTGTGACAATTGAACAGTGGGAAATATCCTTCCATTTTCTTCACAGACTGCAACAAGAAATGTGGACATGAGCCCTTACCAACAAAATTGGGAGCAGCTTAAAAACCAAGAGATGTATCCACAGAGATGCATCCTCTAAGAATACCAAAGGGACCATGACAGCACTCGGGAGGAGAGAGCTACAACACAGGGGAGCGACTACCTTTAGTGGCATATTCTGAAGTTACCTTTGTCTCAAGACTAGAAATGCCACTGAGTAGAGAAGAACCTACAGTTATATGCTGATTTGTTAGCTCTCAGGATGGATCAAGTGACACCTAACTTAATCCTCATACAACACGTAGATCTAGAATAAATTACTAAAAAAGACTGGAAAGCTCAACCCAGTTCTCTGAATGCACTGAACCAAAGCCAGGTCATCACCGTGAGTCAGCACGTGCAGACTTACTCTAAGTGCCATTCTTGACCAGGAAGACAACCTGCCCTCAGGGAAGAGGCCAGCCTCAGCTCCAGGGGAGCCATTTGGCTCCACTGGCAACCCACCGCCTGCCCCAGGCCAAGCTGCCTTCTGGATGCCACAGCTTTGGCTGCCAGCTGAGGCTCCTGGAAAAATAGAATTGTTAGATCTAAAAACAGCATTGAAGATGATTCAACCCAACACTCCCCTTTGGCAAATGAGACAACAGAGGCTCAGAAAAGATAAATCATTTCCCCAAGATTCAACAAGTCATTCTGGCCACAGAACCAGAATTCTAACCCAGGTCTCCTATCTCAGCCCCAATGCTCTTCCTCACACCGCCATGATAACGCCTGCCCAGCCTTACTCGGGAGGCATGCTTTAGAAAATACGCATCATTAGACATAAACAGATTTTGAGAGTGGGCAAAAAAATAATAGGTAAAGCAAAAGTCACCTTTATCAACAAGTTAAAAGATGAAAAATATCCAAAATGCTATGGTTCTAGACTGAGAAAATTAAGCTTCAAAACCAACTGGACTTTCCATCAGATAGCTATCTTTGCGAAATCAAAGAAAAGCAGTGAAAAATTATACATCCTTCTATTTGCTATTAAGCACAGCAGCTCTGTTGACTGACACAATAGCTGGGAAATGATTAGCCATTTCAAGGAGTTCAATTTGTAAACAGTAAAAATAAAATATGCAAGAAACAGTTGAATTAGGTGAATTGAGATGGAACCAAAATGGTCTTGACTAATTTCCCCTGTGACAAAGAAAATTAGACTAAATGAACGAATTAACAGAACAATTAAAATTCCGTCTCCAGCCTCCCTCGTGAAAAGGCTTAGTTCTTCCTAAGATGAAGGAAACACATGGTTTGTTTTATTATTTCTGCTGCCACATGTTTCTTACGCTATCAATGTCAATCAAAATGTGCTCACTGTCAAGGTTTTATAAGTCAACTGAATTGCTATTCAGATACAAAAGAGATTTGCTATTAATCTCCACCCAACAGACAGCTCCTATGCTAGCTGGGAAAAGCTATATTAAACTCACCCTTTGACACAGGTTTTATTTTTTAAGTCACAGTAGATTTGAACATTTGCAATCCATACATGTAATGCTTAGTTTATAAGTCCTTCATTAAAAGATATGACATCCTCAAAAGAATTTGATATGAAATCTTTCAAAGGGAAGAGAAGTAAAATGGACTCTTCCACCCAGTCACAACTACCTACCACTACCCTACAGGTTCTGAATAAAATGATCAGTGTGTTCAGGATTACACTCAGTTGTAAGTTGGCCCTGGGCTCTAATTCTGCCTGCACCACCTACTACCTCAGGCCAGTTTCATCCGGAATAGGAATGATAATGACAAGACCCATTCACAGGACTGTGCTGTAGATTGAACAAGACAGTAAAATGCTGAGCACAAAGTCTCCGCAAAGCAAATGCTCAATAATTATTGGTACCTACCCTTTTTACCATCATTATCACAACTACTTCATAGGAAGTCAACTCCCTCCATAAAAGAAATTTAACTAACAGAAGCAGCCCCTCTTTACTTTGATATGTCCAGGTGGAAAAGATGGCTTACGAAACCTCCTGAAAGGCTGCTTATTGCATTCGCTGTTGTCTTGTCAGGTAAATGTTTAAACAGGACCTGGCACTGTTCTAAGCTGTCAACATGCACAGTTAATCTTCAAAACAGCCCTGTGAAGTTGGTCCTACTCCCCCATCTTACGGATGAAGAGGCTGAGCCCAGCGAGGTTCACTAGGCCCCACAGCTGGCCAGTGGTGGGGAAGAGATGAACAGCAGCACTTTGGTTCTCACGTCCAGCGTTAACCTTATGCCTGTCATTTAGGGTGCAGAGACACAAGCCACCACAGGACTAGGCAGCACTTTCGGTTTGTCAAAAATCATCCTCATTACTGCCAAACACACACATCAGAATGCACAGGGCTGTGTGATATAAAACAGCAAAGTGAGAAAAATTCAAGGATTCAGCAAATTTTGATTCTAACTTTACCTTTTAATTATCATGTGTTTAGGTGATGAGTCACATGTATGGATTTGTGTATGTTGAACCAACCTCGCCTCCTAGGAATAAAGCCTACTTAACTGTGGTAGATTAGCTTTTTCAGGTGCTGCTGAATTTGGTATGCTAGCATTTTTGTTGAAGATTTTTGCATCTATGTTCACCAGGGATATTGGCCTGATGTTTTCTTTTTTTGTTGTGTCTCTGCCAGGTTTTGGTGTCAGAATGATACTGGCCTTTCAGAATGAGTTAGGGAGCAATCCCTCTTCCTCAATTTTTGGGAAGAGTTTCAGTAGGATTGGAACCAGCTCTTTACACATCTGGTAGAATTTGGCTATGAATCTATCTGGTCCAGGGCTTTTTCAAAGACCACATGATCATCTATCTGAATAGATGCAAAAAGAAAAAAAAGAAAAAAAAAAAGGCTTTCAATACAATTCAGCATCCTTTCATGTTAAAAACTCTCAATAAATTAGGCATCAAAGGTACATACCTCAAAATAATAAAAGCCGTCTATGACAAACCCACAGCCAACATCATACAGAATGGGCAAAAGTGGAAGCTTCCCCCTTAAGAACCGGAGCAAGACAAGGATGCCCACTCTCACCACTCCTATTCAACATGGTACTGGAAGTCTAGCCAGGGCAATCAGAAAAGATAAAGAAATAAAAGACAGCCAAACGGAAGAGAGATACTTTGACTATACCTAGAAAAGATCTAATAAACTTCAGCAAACTTTCAGGATACAAAATCAAAGTACAAAAATCAGTAGCACTTCTATACACAAATAACATCCACACTGACAGCAAACCAAGAAAGTAATCCCACTCACACTCACAGTAGCCACAGAAAGGCCAGGTACAGTGGCTCACGCCTGTAATCCCAGCACTTTGGTTGGCCAAGGCGGGTGAATCACTTGAGGTCAGCAGTTCAAGACCAGCCTGGGCAACATAGTGATACCCTGTTTCTACTAAAAATACAAAAATTAGCCAGACATGGTGGCAGGTGCATGTAATCTCAGCTACTCAGGAGGCTGAGGCAGGAGAATTGCTTGAACTGAGGAGGTGAAGGTTATAGTGAGCTGAGACTATGCCACTGCACACCAGCCTGGGTAACAGCATAAGACTCCATCTCGAAGAAAAAAAAAGCCACAAAAAGAATAAAACACCTAGGAATACAGCTAACCAGGGAAGTAAAAGATCTCTATGAGAATTACAAAGCACTGCTGAAAAAAATCAGAGACAATAAAACAAATGAAAAAAACATTCCTTGTTCATGGATAGGAAGAATAAATACTGTTAAAATGCCATATTGTCCAAAGCAATTTACAGACTCAATGCTGTTTCTATCAAACTACCAATGACATTTTTCACAAATTAGAAAAAAAAAAATTCTACAATTCATTTGGAACCAAAAAGAGCCCAAGTAGCCAAAGCAATGCTAAGCCAAAAAAAAAAAAACAAAGTTGGAGGCATATTACCTGACTTCAAACTATGCTTCAAGGCTACAGCAACCAAACACCATGGGACTGCTACAGAAACAGACATACAGACCAATGGAACAGGTTAGAGAACCCATAAATAAAGTCACACAACTAACAACCATCTGATCTTCAACAAAAACAAGAAATGGGGAAAAGACTCACTATTCAAGAAATGGCGCTGGGATAAGTGGCTAGCCACATACCGAAGATTGACACTGGACCCCTTCCTTATACCACATGCAAAATTCAACTCAAGATGAATTAAAGACAAATGTAAAACCTAAAACTATAAAAAACCTACAAGAAAACACTGAAAATATCATTCTGAAAATCAGCCTGTGCAAAGACTTCATGAGGAAGATTCCAAAAGCAATTGAAACAAAACAAAATTTGACCAGTGGGGCCTAATTAAACAAAGAGCTTCTCCACAGAAAAATGAATTATCAACGGAGTAAACAGACAACCTACAGAATGGGAGAAAGTATTTGCAATCTATTTATCTGACAAAGGCCTACATCCAGAATCTATAAGGAATGTAAGCTAATCAACAAGTGAAAAAGCAAAAACAAACAAACAAAAATTTAAAAAATGGGCAAAGGACGTGAACAGACACTTCTCAAAAGAAGACATACATGGTGCCAACAAGCATATGAAAAAATGCTCAACATCACTAATCATTAGAGAAACGTAAATCAAAACCACAATGAAATACTATCTCACACTAGTCAGAATGGCTATTAATACTAAAAAATCAAAAAATAACAGATGCTGGCAAGGTTGCAGAAAAAAGGGAATACTTACACACTGCTGGTGGAAATGTAAATTAGGTCAGCCACTGTTGAAAGAGATTTTCCAAAGAACTTAAAATAGAACTACCATTCAACTCAGCAATATCATTACTGGGTTGATGCCCAAAGGAATGTAAATCGTTCTGCCATAAAGACACATGAACATAAATGTTCATCACAGCACTATACACAATAGCAAAGACATGCAATCAACCTAGATGCCCTTCAGCAATGGACTGTATAAAGAAAACGTAGTACATATACACCATGGAGTACTACACAGCCATAAGAAAGAATGAGAACATGGCCTTTGCAGCAACATGGATAGAGCTGGAGGCCATTATCCTAACTCAATTAATGCAGAAACAGAAAATCAAAAACCACAACTTCTCACTTATAAATAGGAGCTAAACATAGTGTACACATAGACACAAATAAGGGAACAATAGACACTGAGGTCTATTTGAGAGTAGGGGGTGGGAGGACAGTAAGAATCAAAAAACCACCTATGCTTCTTACCTGGGTGACAAAATAATCTGTCCATCAAACCCCTGTGACATGCAATTTACCCATGTAAGAAACCTGCACATGTACCCCTTGACCTAAAATACAAGTTGAAAAGAAAAAAAAAAAATCAATCACATAACTTCTCTGAGGCTAAATTTTCTCTGTCGTAAATGAGAGTAACTGCTTTAGCAAATAACAGGATCATTGAGAAGATTAAATGAAATGAAACATGTGAAATGCTTTATTAATCATAAAAGGTCTTAAAATCATAAGGAATTATTATCATTTGCCCTGTGTAAGAATCCACAGTACAATTAAAACAGATAATACTCTGTTGATAAAAGAAGTATTCTATTAAGTGCTTTTACAACACCATTTGTGGGGTAAAAAATAGAGTCAACTGAGCTTTAACTAACATGACAAAAACAACTGATATTTTAAACTAGTTTGTTTTTTTTACATGCTAAACTGATCTAGTACAAAGCCCAACTAGTAAACATTTAGAGCTCTACCCTGACTGCAACCAATGATTAAGAAGCAGCAGCTCTGAGATTCAGATAAGCACTGCCCACTCTCTGAGAGTTCCCAGGCCTACGTTTCTGATACTGATCGTCTGGCAGCACAGTCACCTTTGGGGTCTCCTGACCAGCCCCTAGCACGCCCTCTCACATATTGTCACCTTCACGGTGCGACTAATCAGATTTCTGTAACACCCGTGATACAGTAAAATCCTTTCACAGACTGGAAAAATTAAACCCAAGGTTAAGTTATTTGGTAAAACTGGTCTGGGCATGGTGCCTCATGGCTGTAATCCCAGCACTTTGGGAGGCTGAGGCGGAGGGATCACTTGAGGTCAGGAGTACAAGACCAGCCTGGGTAACATGATGAAACCCCATCTCTATTAATAATGCAAAAATTAGTCAGGCTTGGTGGTGCCCGCCTGTATTCCCAGCTAGTTGGGAGGCTGAGGCAAGAGAATCACTTGAACCTAGGAGGTGGAGGTTGCAGTGATCCAAAACCATGCCACTGCTCTCCAGCCTGGGTGACAGAGTGAAATTCCATGTCCAAAAAAAAAAGATATTTGGTAAGACTGGCAGAAACTATGGTATCCCAGCAAGACTACTAAAATGTCCAATTATATGTCAAAACATCTTTTTTTCTCAAAATAACTTTAAAACCAAGTGGGTCAGCCTTAAATATTAAAGGATTTTTAAAAAGCAAGTCTATCCATAGGTTGTGTTAGGGATTCAAAATCTGTGTTGACCAACATTATATTAATTCATATAATGAAAAAAATGATAACAATTGAAGAATGAAATGATTGCAGTTCTCACTGAAGAAAATATAAAAGAATCTTCGAGGGGGAGGAAAAGATTTGATTATTGGGATGAGTACCTGAGACTGCCTGACCTCTTTCTTTGTATCTTCAGAAGCCAAACCGAAAGCTGGAAAAAAAAAAAAAAAAAAAAAAAAGACACATTTTTAAATTAGAATTAGCAATTCAGGTTCATTCTCACATCCAACAGTTTTGCTTATAATAAAAAAAAGATACTTCAACAAGACATATTTTGCTCATTTTTAAGCAGCTGCATTGCTGCGAACTAGTATTACTGGCTTTCTTCATCTCAGACCTAAAATTATTCATCGACACGAAGCCAACACACTCAGGCCACCAAGCAAAAGAAACAGTACATCAGACAAATTAAAATCTCCATATGCCATTTGTGTCTATAGACATAAGCTATAAAATAGATGTGTATGAAATACTCGTTCTTAGAAACCTTAAAAACCTTAAGTGTGGTACCTTCTTAAGCAAAAGGGAATTCCTGAGAATCCAGGAGGAAGAAGTACAAATTCTCACCCTCAAAATCACTGCCAGAGCCTGGCAGGCAGCACAGCTAAATCTGGAGCAAGTTTTTTCCTGAGGGCTGCAAGGTTAGAAGTGTGATCCAGATACTGCTATCAGCTAGCACAGAACCCTACCAAACCCTAACAGAACCCTGCTAAGGCAAGGGGGCGGGGAGAGTGAGGGGAATTAAAATCATTCTCCATTCTGAGTGAATGAATGTTTTTGAGTCAGAGCCATAACAGACAAAGATATCCCTAGAGTCACACTTAGGCTCTGCATTAAAAATAATAACAACATGACAGTAACACTCTGAAAACATAAGGCAAAATGACAAGTCAAACAGGAAGCTTAACAGAACAAAAAATAGGACCTTCATTTTACAGCGCGTTTCTCCTGGGTAGCTGAGAGGAAAGCGCTGCAGAGTTCGCTTTCTCCAAAAGGCAATGCCACAGGGCAGTGATGTACTAAAAGGGTGGGAGAGGTGACACCACGGGACAATGATGTAGCATAAGGAGTGTCGGCAGAGGGGCTCCGTGAGTGGCAGAGGAGACCCTACTCAGAAGCACGAGACAATTTCACCCATTTGGACCTTTTCTAATCCCTCCCCATCCCCACCCCCAGACATCCATTGCCTCAAATTCTCCATTAACATTTGCTTAAAAGAAAGAATCCAAAACACCTTCACACTAGGAAGCAAATGACTAACATACATGGTTTCGTCGTTTCCATTTCCAGAATGGCATTTCAAAAGGCAGGGTGAAACTGAAATGTAAGCCATATGAACCTCTATGTGAAGAATTTAGCCAACAGTAGACATTATACAAGGCCTCCCTGAGACCACCTCACATAAAATAATAAATCCCCAATTCCACACCCTCCTTATCCACTTCACTCTGCTTTACTCTTCTCCAGAGCACTTATCATCAACTGACATATATATTTATTACTTTTCTTACATATCAGTTGATTGTAAGCTACATGAGGGCAGGAATACAGTTATACCGGGTTTGGGGAGTGGGGTTTGTTTTGTTTTGTTTTTTTTGAGACAGTATCTCACTCTGTTGCCCAGGCTAGACTGCAATGGCGCCATCTCACCTCACTGCCACCTTCATCTCCTGGGCTCAAGTGATCCTCCCACCTCAGCCTCCTGAGTAGCTAGGACTACAGACGTGCACCACCATGCCCAGCTAATTTCTGTGTGTGGAAGCCGGGGAGGGTTGTGGAAACAAGGTTTCACCATATTATTCTGGCTGACCTCAAATTCCTGGGCTCAAGCGATCCGTCCACCTCAAAGTGCTGGGATTACAGGCGTGAGCAACCACACCCAGCCAGGAATACAGTCTTATCTACTGTTTGCCTCCACACCAAAAGCACAGCTAGCACAAAGAAGGAACTCAATAAATATTTACTGAGTAAATCAATGAGTGAAAGTCCTCACTATGGGGGACCCTAGGGTCACATCAGATAAAGGCTCCCTGCTCCCTATAGGAGGCAGTGCCAACCCAGTAGAATAACGGAGTTATTCTACTCACATACACATACACAAGAAAAACAAAGCCCAAATCATTCCTTCAAGTTCTAAGAAGAAAGGAGAGATTTAACTCCAAAAGCCATTTAAATTCTGCTTCTGGGAACTTAATTTTTTGGTTTTGTTTTATTTACCTCTAAGTTAATATGCACATTTAAAACCCTGAAGACAAAATCAAAAACAGATTTACTTAAGGAGTGTCATACAGGGAGGCTGCAACATGTTAACACATCTTAGCACCACAGAATTCCAGAAAATAGAATATTCTGAGAACTTGCAAGATATAAAAACTGTTCAAACTAATTCACGACTTTGATTCAAAAATCCACTTCCCCGCTGAGCGTGGTGGGTCACATCTGTGTAATCTCAGAACTTTGAGAGGCCATGGCAGGAGGACAACATAGGGAGACCCTGTCTCTACAAAAAATAAAAATATTAACCAGGCATGTGGCCAGGCACAGCGGCTCACGCCTGTAATCCCATCACTTTGGGAGGCCGAGGGGGTCAGCTCACAAGGTCAGGAGTTCGAGACCAGCCTGGCCAACATAGTGAAACCCTGTCTCTACTAAAAATACAATTAGCCAGCCGTGGTGGCAGATGCCTATAGTCCCAGTTACTCAGGAGGCTGAGGCAGGAGAATGAATCACTTGCACCCAGCAGTGGAGGTTGCAGTGAGCCAAGAGCCAAGATCATGCCACTGCATTCCAGCCTGGGCAAAAGAGCAAGACTGCCTCTTAAAAAAAAAAAAAAAAAAAAAAAAAAAAAAAAAAAAAAAATTAGCCATGCATGCTATAGCATGCCTGTCATCCCAGCTACTCAAAGACAAGGTGGGAAGATCTTTTGAGCTGAGGAGTCCAAGGCTACAGTGAGCTATGGTCATGCCACCACACTCCAGCCTGGACGAAAGTGAGACCCTGTCTCAAAAAAATGAAAAAAATCCATCTCCCCCTCCCCAATCAATTCCTAATTCCAAACAAGGACAGTCAAATATCTCTGGAGTTAGAATTTCCTCTTTTATCAATCAAAATAACTTTTTAAATGTAATAGTCCAGTGGCATCATCTAATAACAATGTTTGCTTTTACCTCACTTTTGTGCAATGCCAGACAGCTAAATGACAACAAAGTCCAGTGAATACAAAAGCCCCTAACCCTCAGAATGTATAGTACAGGGAAGGGATCTTTATTTGGTACTGGTTCCGAAAATTACTAACATATCATCCTTTGTAAGTAAGCATTTAATATTATTTGACCATGTAACTGCTTAAAGTAGGAATTACACAGAAGGAAGATACTGCCAATAAATCAAATGAATTCCACAAATTCTGCTTGTCATAATCGACACACCATTCCTTTAGCCAGACAAAGCTTAACTAAGCTAAGTTAAACTAGATTCTATTTCCATCCAAAAATATAGACCTAGAGTTAAAATATCCCTTTTCAAAAAAAAAAAAAAAACTCAAACCAAAAAAAATCTGTCATTTCTCATCACTCTGCTGTGAAATTTAAAATTCCTTTTACCCATGATAGATACAAATTATAATATTTAAAGCAATGACATAAGAAATGCATCAGAGTTACTTTCAGTTGTAGGAGCAAATCATAAAGCAAAATAATCCTTAGAAAAAACTGCCTGGTTTTTTTGTTTTTTTTGAGGGGTAGGGGGACAGGTCTCATTCTGTTGCCCAGCCTGGAGTGCAGTGGCACTATCTCGGCTCACTGCAACCTCTACCTCCCGGATTCAAGAGATTCTCCTACCTTAGCCTCCCGAGTAGCTGGGATTACAGGGCACATGCCATCATGCCCAGCTAATTTGTGTATTTTTAGTAGAGACGAAGTTTTGCCACATTGGCCAGGCTGGTCTCAAACTCCTGACCTCAGGTGAGCTGCCGGTCTCGTCTTCCCAGAGTGCTGGGATTACAAGTATGAACCACCATGCCCGACCACCAACTGGTTTTATCTTTACATTTCTATAATCTAAATATATCAAAAGAAATCATCAAGGAACCAAATGTGGCCAGGTGTGGTGGCACATGCCTGTAATTCTAGCACTTTGGGAGGCTGAAGCAGGAGGATCACTTGAGGTCAAAAGTACAAGACCATCCTGGGCAAGATGGTAGGACCCCATCTCCTCAAAAACCAAAAAGAAAAAAGAAAAAAATTAAAGCTTAACCAGGCTCACTAGTACGTGCCTGCAGTCCCAACCACTTGGGAGACTGATGTGGGAGGATTCCTTGTATCCAAAAGTTCAAGGCAGCAGTAAGCTATGATCATGCCACTGCATTCCAGCCTGTTAAAAAATAAATAAAAATAAAAACGAAATCAAATGTATTGTGAAGGCACAGAATATGCTATACCACTAATAAATCCAATCTTAAAGTAACTAACCATTTATAGAATTCTTACCAATAAAAATACTGGTTTCATGAAAATGAAAGAGAAATGATGTAAAGAGATGAGCAAAGTGAGAAAAATTAGCAAGGGGGGCAAGAAATTGCCTGTCACCTTCAACAATGCTAACAAGAGTGCATTCTGCAAGTTGAGTCTGGGTGGGCAAAGAAAAGGAGGAGTGGAGGAAAGATCTCGCCATCCTGCCCCCAACCAAAGGGGCACACAGGAGTGGCTACCTGGGGCTCAATGTTTGCTGCTTATTTTCATATTAATTTCCAGATTCCGTAGAGAAAATATTGTTGAAAATTTCGCCTTAGTGCTTTAATGTGCATTTGGAGAAACAGTCCAAGGTAAATCATGCTTTTATACATGCCAAATGCTGTTTAAAAGTAATTTCCCCTTTTCTATTTTCAACATGAATTCTGGTAAATTGCAACAGGGAACTATATTTAAAGTGCAAATCAGGGCAGGCAATAGAAATCAGACCTTTTTCATGATAACTTTAAATAATTCAAACCAACGAATGTGTTAGCATACCTAGATGGAGAGATAAATCAAGATTTTACAGCTAGCCTGGGACTAAGATTTATAGGCCAGCCTAAGCCCCAGAGTGCAAGAAAACCGGCGAGTAATTAATTGCAACGCATTTAAGCAGCACTAATCAACTATCTTTCCTTGT